AAAAAATCGATCTTCGAAATGTTTATGAGATACCTCATAAATGTATTATATACATTAAAATAAACATTTTATGAAAATTTGAGATTAAAAAAAAAATTTTTACAGGTCGCTCAACGCGTTTTAAGAAAATTGACCAAAAATACTCAAAAAAACATAAAATGTCATTATTTATTCAATTTTTGTTCAAATTTCTTACTTAGTACATCTAAATTGTTCGTTTTTTAATGCCGAATAATAATAATTAAAAAAAAAAATATTATGTCCAAAATTGATTGTGTAAAGTCCATAAAAAGCTCAAAGATATGGTTAAGTTCAACGAACACTTAAGTAAACCAAAAAAATTTTTTTTTTCTTTTTTGTTTTTTTAATTTGATTAATATTTGTGTCTATTTTTAAAAGGAAAACATTTTTTCCACTAATGTTTAAAACTACTACCTTTTCTTTTAGATTAGAACGTACGCTAGAATATACGATGTACATAAAAATAAATGAAAATATCGTCAAATTTTACTGTTCCCTTTTTACATTTTTTCCGTCCCAGTGAACCATTAAAGCGGTGTTTGGTTTGGATTATTTTATTATTTATAATTTTTCTATTAAAATTACGAGCTCTTTGAATTGAATCCTTACTTATCGAATAATCGTTAAAAAATAAATGAAAATATCGTCAAATTTTACTGTTTCCTTTTTACATTTTTTTATTTTAAAATTTGGCATTAGCTATATATACATACATATTACATATTAATACATATTTATAATTATAAAAATAAAAATTATTTTTTATTTTTTTGTCACCAATGTTGATATTTACAATCGGGGTACTCATTCTAGACAGAATAAACGTATCTAGCCGAAAAGCCACGTATATTTTGGCGTCTGCTTTACTTTAGTGTGATAAAAATATTAATGANTTATTATCTAAAAATAAACAAAATTAGGGGGTGCCGCACAATTTATTATAAAGTTGAAAAATAAGGACCAGCCTAATATATACAAATAATGCGACTTAAGTACGTAAATGTATCATGCACTAGGCATAACCGTGTTTTGTGAGCGGGCGGGTCGGACTAACGTTATACCTGAGGTATAAACGGCGGTAGGAATATTTACGTAAGCTGTATGACACGCGGATGGTATTGGTCAGTCAAAATAAAAATTTGTTTATATATATATATAATATTGATGACAATCACGCGTATACGGGTACGATAACTAAAAATAAATTTTTATAGGAATAGTGTTGCCGTCGTGTGGTGAGCGAGGCGTGGGGTGGGGTGACTGCGTTATGACAGTCTAGTCTCAAGGCCATAGACGACGGAATATGCGATAACGCGTGGCGCTTGGAGAGTTACATACATACATACATGCAGGTGAAACTAATATAAGCGTGTTAAAAAAGCACCGGGTTACGATGAAATCAGCCCGAAAATGATAAAAGAATTACCTAAGAAGGCGATTGTTCATCTGACACACATTTTCAATGCAATTTTGTGAACTGAATACGTTCTGAAACTTTGGAAAAAAGCTCAAGTTATAATGTTTTCAAACCAGGAAAACCATCAGAGCAGGTAACATCTTCGCTTTTTCCTTGTTTATCTAAGCTTTTTGAAAAAGTTCTTCTTAAAAAAATAAACTACTGATTGAGGAAAAATATTTTTTACCTGATCACTAATTTGACCTCCGTAACAAGCACTATACAATTGATCAGGTTCGTCAAGTTACTAACGTGATTCATCAGGCCCTTTTAGGATTATTGTAATTGGCTGGGTATTTACGTAGCAATCATTAGAACCTACACGATTTGTAGGCAACTGACGGGTTTGTTCTGAATATTTCCGGGCAGTCAGAAAAACGTTTTTCCTTATTACTTCGAGCTGTTAGATTTGATAATATTGAAACAAGGAACGTTAGAAGAACAATAGATAAGCTCTTACCTATTCGTACAGTTTTCGATGATTTTTTTCGGCGATGTAAAGAAAATTATACTGTAGGAGAGAATTGCACTATAGATGAGATGCTAGAAAGGTTTCGAGGGCGTTGCAGTTTTCGACAATATATACCAAATAAGCCAAATAAATACTGCATCAAAATTCAAGCACTCGTTAATTCTCGCTCATTTTATATGTCTAATATGGAGGTTTACGTAGGAACTCAGCCGGATGGCTATTTCAAAATTGACAATTCTCCGTCAAGTATTGTAAAACGACTAATTGCGCCGATATCAAAAACTGGCCGAAATATTACTATGGACAATTGGTACAATTCAATTCCATTGGCTAATGCGTTACTAAAAAATCATAATCTTACCGTAGTGGGCACTTTGAGAAGAAACAAAAGGAAAATTCCTCCAGTTTTTTTAGAAACTAAAAAAAGAGAGGTAAATTCGACTTTGTTTTGTTATGGATAAGACCTTTTACTTACATCTTATATTCCAAACAAAAATAAAAATGTCATTATGATATCAAGTATGCATGATCAAGGTATGATTGACCAGGAATTCGGTAACCAAAAAAAACCAGAAGTACTAATAATACTAAAGGTGGAGTGGATGTAGTAGACGAAATGAAAGGCGAGTACTCAGTGTCAAGAATTAGTTGTCGATGACCCCTATCTGTTTTTTTTTCATTGAAAATTGCTGGGATAAACAGTCAAATTATATATCGCAAAAATACAGGTAAAATGATAACTCGTCAAGAATATTTAAAAACTTTGGGACAAGAGCTCACTAATCCATACATGATAAAACGTCTCGAACAGCCATATTTATCATTCTGTCTTCGATAACAAATAATAAAAATGACTGGATGTACTTCACAAAAAAATAAAGAAAGTCTGAATCCAGATATTTCGACGAGTGATCAACAAATCAGATGTAATATTTGTCCAATAAGAAAAAATCGCTTTACAAAAGTACCATTATAAAGATATTTATTTAGACAAAATATTATTGTTATTCGATAGTATGAATATTCATATATTATACATTATATTATTAGCTTCGATGCGAAACTGAGAAGGTATTGTTTTTACTAAGATGTGTTTTTTTTTGTCTGTTACCACTTTTTCTTAGCTCTCACTGGACGGATTTCTTACGACGTTACGTCAAAAGATCACATATCGTATCTAGTCGAAGACATTACTCTCAAAAATTGAAAAAAATTTCGTCGTTCCTCGTAAATGGGGGAAATCTCCAAAAATATTACAAATTTAAAAATCGCTAATTTTCGAAATTTTTTTTGATAAAACTGTCATAACTTTTTCAAAAATAAACAAAATCAAAATAATTTTTTTTTATAGATGCTTGATATCTTTACCTATCATTTGGTATATTTTTTGTTATAAATTTGATCCTTTACCTCCCCACAGGGGGGATTTAAAATAACAACTTTATCACAAAAATTAACTTTTGAAAGTATTCCGGAAGAAGGTCTAACACTTTTATATATATCTTAAATTAAAGCTAATGTAATATACTTTATTATGGAAAACAAAAATTTCGGACTTTATTTTGTCTTCACGGTGAAAACAGACATCAAAGTGGGGTGGCGGCACAGTGGGGTCGTGGCATAGTTGATAGATATGGCAGTATAGATGAAATCTGACAGTGATTAAAATCACTATCATAAGAAACGCTTCGATGCAAATCTGTAGATAGTGTTTAATTTAAAAAAAAAAATTTGTTAAAATAGCATATTTTTGAATATGGTAGCCATTTGCGCATAGAAGATAGGTCGTCGGGACAAATTTTTTTTTTCATTTTATAGTACATAAAAAAAGTTTTAATTTGATATATGTTTAAAGGACGCAGTATTTCTAGAACATTTTCAAAAATTAAGTTGAAAAAGTTAGTTTTTGGAAAAAAGTTGCTATTTTAAATCCCCCCCAATGAGCAGGTAAAGTGATAGATTTTCAAAAAATGATATCAAATGAAAGGTAAATATCTATGGTTTTAGTATAAAAAAAATTTATGTTGATTTGTTGATTTTTCAAAAAGTTATTGAAGTTTTAAGAAAAAAAATTACAAAATATACTGATTTTTAAATTTGTAATTTTTTTGGATTTTTCCCCCATTTTCAGGGAACGAGGGAATTTTTTTCAANATTTTTAAATTTGTAATTTTTTTGGATATTTCCCCCATTTGCGGGGAACGAGGGAATTTTTTTCAATTTTTAAGGGTAATGTCTTCAACTAGATACGATTTGTGATCTTTTGACGTATTTTTAAAAGAAATCGGTCCAGTGAGAGCTGAGAAAAAGTGGCAACAGACATAAAAAAAAAAAAAACACATCATGGTAAAATTAAGCTTTTTAATTAATTAATTTTTAATTAATTCGCATCGAAGCTAAAAAATACGATTTATGTAAAAAAATTCTTTTATATATTTTTAATTTTATAATGCTATAACTTATTGAAAAGTGTATGGATCAATACAATTTTTTTTATGAGAAATAATTTTTATATCCCTCTTTTATTCGACATACTTTTAGCTTCGATGCGAAGCTGAGAAGGTATTTTTTTTACCATGATGTGTTTATTTTTTTTTTTTTTTTTTTTGTGTCTGTCACTACTTTTTCTCAGCTCTCACTGGACCGATTTCTTTTAACAATACGTCAAAAGATCACAAATTGTATCTAGTTGAAGACATTACCCTTAAAAATTTAAAAATTTTCCCTCGTTCCCCGCAAATGGGGGAAATATCCAAAAAAATTACAAATTTAAAAATCGACAAATTTTGTCATTTTTTTCACTTTTTTTTCTTAAAACTTCCATAACTTTGTCAAAAATCAACAAATCAACATAATTTTTTTTTAAACTAAAACCTTAGATATTTTCCTTTCATATGATATAATTTTTTTGAAAATTTAACACTTAACCTGCTCATGGGGGGGATTTAAAATTGCAACTTTTTTACAAAAACTAAACTTTTTCAACTTAATTTTTGAAAATGTTCCGGAAATACTGCTNTAACTTTTTCAACTTAATTGTTGAAAATGTTCCGGAAATACTGCGTCCTTTAAACATATATCAAATTAAAGCTTATTTTATGTATTATGAAATGAAAAAAAAAA